AATCAGCTCCAAGCACCAAAATATGCTGGTACCTCTCATAATTTTGTTATTCATACTTAGATACAGCAAAATCCCATTAACAGTTGGGAAAAAAGACAGTTAAAGTAAAAGGATAACAGATTGCTAATCATGCTTAAGTTTTCTCACATGTGAAGTCCCATTTACTCTGTAAGTCAAGTTAACATGTTCATAAGTGTTTGCAGAATCGGGTATGTAATGAGACTTATATTTTATTAGTTAATCATTATGCATGGCAATTAATTAAATGGAAAAAGCAGACTTTTTTGTGAATACCTGTTTTAATATGGCAACATAGACTAGTGAATCAAAGGCACATGGTAGGTGTAATGTGTTTGGATTTTAAAAGAACATTTGATTATGTATGTCTCATTCTTACTCTGAACCTTGTTGTTAGTTTGGATATCAGTGCTGCCATGCAGTGAAATTGGCCAAAAGACTTCTTGGGGAGGACTGGAAATGCTCACTTGGTGCATCCCACAGAGAAGGCAGGGCTTACTGTCATGGTACAGTCTGCACCTTCCTTATGTGTGTGGGGGAGCTCGGGTGTGGTGGTGTCTTGGGTCCTGCGGTGTGGATCCTAAGGCAGGAGATTGGAGAAAACAATCTAACCCCTCTAGATTAAGAGTGCTATAGAAGCTGGTTCCCTGGGAAAACAGCTAGTTAAAAACAGGGGGGGCTCCAGGCAACAGCGCACCAAGTGCGTGCCTGGGGCGGCAAGCCGCAGGGGGGCGGCCTGCCGGTTGCCGTGAGGGTGGCAGTCAGGCTGCCTTCGGTGGCATGCCTGCGGGAGGTCCGCCGGTCCCGCAGTTTCGGCGGCAATTTGGCGGCGGGTACGCTGAAGGCGCGGGACCGGAGGACCTCCCACAGGCATGCTGTCGAAGGCTGTCTGACTGCTGTGCTTGGGGCGGCAAAATACATAGAGCCGCCCCTGGTTAAAAATAATCCGTTTGTCCCAGATACTCTGTTGGCTCTTGTAGAGATTATAGTCTCAGTCTTCAGGGGGCCAGGGGATGGCAGCTGCATTATGAGTACTGCATTACTAGTACAGCTGTGGGCAGGCTGTCCCAAAGAATGATACTAGCACACACAGATTTTGTGGGGCAGAAGGGAGTAATTTTAAATTGTTGGATGACAAGTAATTTTATGTTAAAAATTACTAGAAACATTTAGTCCAGAGAAACAAGAAGTGGCTGGCCAGCTCTTACTACTTGTTTCTCTTGCTGCCAAATCAGGGAAAACCAAAGTAAAAAGATGGAATTATTGATACAGGCTATTCATTAGACTATTTCAGATGATGTGACTCCCACTATGTTAGTAACAGAGGTTCTTTTACATACCTTCAGGGATGCCAGGATTAAAACCAAGCAAAGTAATCATAGTTATTAACTAGGGCTATTTTATTATTAAAGAAAGGAAAAGAAAACGTTCAACAAAAAACCACAAATGACACAATACAAGTGATTAACTGGTTACTTTAGTTACAATCTCTTCTGTATGCTTCCCTGCGGAGAGCTTTTAGGAGAGATTAAGCCTTTGCCAGTGGACTGTGTCTGGAGGGTGTTCTTCATCTGGTAAGTTAAGACCAAAGTTCACTGTTTTCCAAATTTATTTAAACTGTTTATAATTGGACAAAAGAATTTAAGAGCACGTGGGGCCTGTTTGGTATATCATTGGTAACCTAAACAGTTGATCATTGGGCAAAGTACGGTAAGTAATATTAACTAAGTCCTGTGAAATCAAAGAAAATATTTAAACCAGTTATTTAAAAGGAGCCATTTAAGGAACAGTTTTGAGATGGGAAAATTATGAATATTAAGAAACTTACATACAATTAAATCCCACTATTTTTTTGTTTACCAATGTTTAGCCCCTGTTACCTCTTCAAGAATATTTGGTCTAACCATTTGGTGATTAACAGGAGAAACTGTTAATATTTTTAAGTTACAAAAGCATTCCTTATCCCAATAAATATTCAGAAGAGTTTTAATTTAATCAGTTGGCAGTGTCTTAGTTAACTTCCTCTCACCAATCCGTGTTGAAGTCCTGGGGAGACTTTCCTTGGGTTGCTTTCCTTTTGAGGCTTCTCTGTTTTTCTTATCTGACTGTGGCAGCTTGCTTGTAGAGATGGACAGGATGAGTTGTGGCGTGCTTGCTGTTTAAGCAAGGTAGCAGAGATGTGTGTGTGTGAAGGGTGCTCCATTTGGAGTTTTATACCCTTCTTCTTTATATTTTCATGAAGATTTAGGAAAACATACCTCTTTCAGGCTTGTGTAGATTCCAAGTTGGTTGCTATCATCCTTTCACTGGGCTCAGTACCTTTATGGGTTTTGTGTAGGAGCTTCTTCGTTAAATGAATATGCTGCACTTTCTAACTGCCTTTGTTCTTGTGTTGGGAAAATCCCAGATAACCTTTTAAAGTTAGAGTTTAACATTTTATTTTTATTCAATCCATTGTCTGACATAGTCCTTCAGTTTATTTAGAGTTCAACAGGAAATGAAATTTTTTAAAGAAAAAAGTCCAAACAATCCTGTTCTTTTTACAAATCTTTTTAGTTTTTAATATAGTCGTTTAAAATTAAATAATTCTTAGAACTTCTTTAGTTTAAGAATCAACAACTCCTTGAGTAATTATTTAATTTTTTTGTCGTTTAAGTTTATGATTTTTCTTGTCATCTTGAGTTGGGTGAGGGAGCTATTTAAGCATGCCAATTTAATTAATCCTCCACTAATATAAATATTCTATACTTAAATAGCTTCTTACATCAATAATTAGTTTAGCAAGATCATTAGAGTCTGTTAGTACATGAGCACTTTACTATTTACATAGCAATGATATTAGGAAATTAATTTAGTGCTTTGCATTTAGTTAAAATACTTGCAAATATGCCGTTCAAAATGATTTGCCGTTTCACAACTGAACAAATAAACAAAGGTTTAAAACATTTCCAACTACACATGTTTTTCCTAGATACTTCTGAGTGAAGTTTTTAGAGTAATTATAAAATTCAACAAGGATATTTCTAGAATTATTTGTGTGGGTTTACTCTGAAATTTTTCTTGGGAGGGTGAAAAAGCCCACTTTACACCTAGATTTAGTCTTTGATAACGTAACCCTACATTCCTTTTCACAAATCAGGTCTTTTCCTAAAAGGTGAATGTTTTTTGTATGGTGTGTTTTCTTGAGACAAGGATTACATTTGTACCAAACTGGTATTTTATACAAAGGGAGGTGTCCTGGTTTGTTTGTCTCTGGGGTGACAGAAAGCAGAAGCCCTTGGAATTCCTCTCCTTAGCTTGAATGTTTTCTGCAGTTGAATAAACAAAAACATATATATGTGAGGTACTTTTCTCCAAGTACCATATATATGAGAATAATGATAAATATATACTAATCTTCAGTAAAGGCACAGGGAAGCTTAATTGCATAATATTAAAATAGTGTATTAATATAATTTTTGCATTAATATTGAGGTCTCTACCTCAATTTATTACTTAAAAACAAAGAGCTGAATTCTCCCCTGCATCCGGGGTCTTCTTGTTGTGAGGGGAAGGAGGTGGCCATTAGGGAGCCAGATACAGCTAGCTCCCTCATTCAGCACCAGTCTGGCCCTGACATTCCTTAGAGTAGCCCAGGTGCTACTCTAGCTTATACCACTAGATATCTTCTTCCAGTGGAGTGTAGTAGAGCTCTGCTAAGGTAGAGTGAAGGGGTGGCTGGTATGGGAGCCAGCTCTACCTATTTCATTAGCTTTATGCCAACAGAGAAATCCCTTCTCCAAGGATAAATCTTCACTGGCCACTTATGGGCAGAACACAACCAGTCTCCACTGCCCGAGCAGCACAAAGTGAATGCATCATACTGCAGGATCTGGCCCAACATATTTCCATTTCAGTTCTCTATACATTGTAGAGGTTCATGAGCCTAGGAATTCTATTTGGTACTCATGTTTATGCTTGCACTGGTCACCTATCAGCCAGGTTTGTGTTGTCACGGGGACATGGCTCATTACAAAACTGAACAATATAATGTCTTGGGCTTTATAGACTTTTCTCCTGAAATTGACCATGTTTTCATTTGTATCACAACATCTATTGTTACTTGTGCTGTCCATTATACAGCTAGCAGAGAAAACGACACAATTTATCTGAGAAATGAGTTTTCTTCCTAATCTGTCCGTATGGCTAGATGTATATCACCTTTTGCATTACTCTTCCTGTGGTGTAATTACCTCAAGATATCACTACACAAAATGATCAGCAAGGCTAATTCTGAAATTATCTATTATTTTTTTTTTGGTAGCTTAGTGCTCACAACGAGGGCTTTGAGTTCAGCATACTAGGTCAGTTCTGAGCCAAGAAGTGACTCAGAGTACGAAATAAAAGGCAGATTGTAAATTGTGTGGCACATTTCCATAATTAAAATAGCTGTTAATTCTTTAAAGTGTGGCTGTACTTTGAAAAATCACTGTAAAAAAATGGCATTGTGGAGTTTCCAGCCTATAGCCTGGTTATAACAGTTCTAGGCTATAACAATAACAAATGTAGTATTAATTGGACTTAACCACATGCTTAGAGATAAGCACATGCTTAAGTGGTTTTCTGAACTGGGTTCCTAATGAAGTACAAATGTAAGTGTTAGAGAGAACTGCCCATAGTATTGGAGTTTGGACAGATATTTTAAATAGATAATTTTTGTCTTCTGACTGTATCATCAGGTGATATTTGTTGTAATGATCAGAGATCCTGCCTTTCTGCGAGCCTTCAGGGTCCAATATGCGCTCCCTCAGAAGGGAGAAGTACAATATATTTCTATACATTATACATCTCCTTAATGTTTACCCACCACTTCCTATATTAACTTTGAACAATGAAGTCATTGCTAGCTCTTGAGGCACCATCATTTTTCTGCGGGTTTTTGTTGTTGTTACAGTACTGTCCTTTAACCAAGTTTTTTTTTTTTTTTTTTTTTGAACCTACAGTACAGCCAAGTACAGTGTGGTGACATTTCTACCTCGATTCCTCTATGAGCAGATTAGAAAAGCTGCTAATGCTTTCTTCCTCTTCATTGCCTTACTGCAGGTATGGTTTTATTGTTTTACCTTTGATTCAAAAGAAATTCAAATGTAATTACAAAGTAACTAAAAGAAAAACAAATCAAGTATGTCTCAATAGATTAATTGATAAAGTAGTCACCATTATCACAATGTGAAGTACATAACTTTAAACAGGAAATTAAAGGATAGTTGGAGATTTTGAAAGCTGTTTGCAAAGTAAATTCCAATTTAATAAGAAGTCTTGCTGCTAATTTCACCGTAAATTACTTTTAAACTAACCAAAGAGACTAAAAAAGCTTCCTTTTTTGCATACATGTGCTTGTAAAGCCAGGTTGTCTTAGTTACTATGGGCCAGATACTCATCTGGTGTAAATAAAGAAAATGCAGGTTTGCTGATTTACACCACCTGCATGAGTTCAACTGTCTAGGCCTGGGAGGGAGAGAGAAATGTATAAGTAAAAGAATTGTAGAAATTCGAAAATGGCCTATGATAGCTTTCCTTTGCGAAATAATGCTATGATTTAAAGGTCTGGTATCTCAGGGCCTTTCAGAGCTGTAAGCAAGTGCGTATAAACCATTGAGAAGCTGGGAATCTCCACTTTCTACTGTTTATAATGCTTCCCTTTCTGGTCCTGAATCTTGAATATCTCAGTGATACAGGACTTACTATGATCCATCCTGCACCTCTGACCAATACATTTTTAGGGGAAACTTGTACACTTGGGTGGGAGGGGAAGAAGGAAACATTTCTCTGACATGTTGTTTTTAATTGGTATGAAAATGGATCTGTTTGAATAGTCTCAAAGTTTATGATGTCAGAATAAGCCCCAGTATACGTGGGGTAGAGGGCAGAGTGCAGCTGAGACGATTAAGGTTCCATCCCTTATGGCTGCTGCTCTAGTTCCACTTCTCACTTGATACATTCATAAAATTCTAAACTTTACCTTATATAAATCATAGATTTGCTGCATAAAACAGTTTTATTTTGTCCTTTACAGCAAATTCCAGATGTCTCTCCAACAGGAAGATATACCACCTTGGTGCCATTGCTATTTATTCTAACCGTTGCTGGCATCAAAGAGATTATAGAAGACTATGTGAGTATAATTTATTTAATTTGGGAAACAGGTAGGCTTCCCACCAATGAAACACATACAGCTTTAGTAAATGCATCTTCAAGAGTGACACAGTAACCGTTGTTGGATCAAATCCTGAGATCTTTGCTTAGTTGTTACTCAGCCCTTAGTCAGGTAAATAGTCCATTGACTTTAAGAGGAGTTTGCCTGAGACAGGACCTCAGGAGTCGGCTCATTATCATTATTTAATAGTACTTTATTAAACATATGTATGTCTCACTAGGTGTGCTGTCTGTTTTGAATAATTGAATGGATCTGGGCTGGTGTGTTGATGTGAAAGCGTATGTACAGTAGGAAATGCAGATGAACTTTGAACTGGGTTACAAAAACACAATATTAAAACAAATGGAACTTCATCTATTTATATCAGCGGAGAATCTGCCCCATAATAAAAATATTTGAATTTATTTTATAAAGAGAATTCCAAAGTTTAAAACATATTGAGAAAAGCAAATTTTGAAGAGGCTATACATATATTTTTAATTGGAAGCGTGAGAAATATAAATATCTTTCAGTGCTTGCAAGAATAATCACACTCACTAAATCTCATCTCTTTTCACTTTCTAATACGTGTAGCACAAAAATTGCACAGAAAGGGGCAAACTTTCAAATTGGCTTCCACAGAGAATGTGAATTTGCATACCCAAATTTTAGCTTGCAGTGTTTTGTTTTGCACACTTCAAAGCTCCATATTTCTTGCACAAGTAGAGCAATTAACTATTTAGTATCCCAGTTTGCACATTTGTATCCAGCAGATCAGGGTGCAAAAAATCTTTGCCTAAAATTACATGTGTAAAAAGAACTAAGTGCAGTTCTGTTTGTGCTAATTTAGCTGCTGCTTTGTAAAATTTGGCCCAAAGGCTTCTCTGAGTAGAAACAAAATTGCTTATTTGTGGCCAAGAAATTGAATCTTTAATTACATATGGTAACAAAAAAAAAAAAAAAAAAAAGCTGTTTCTCTGTTTTCTTTTCCTCTAAACTCAAGTGTAGTATGTTCTCTTTAAGTAGTCAAAAGTTAGATTTTGCCATCCTGAACAGTATCTTAGGTCTGGTCTCTAGAGCCTTTAATTCTGCCCTTTCTTTAAGAAAAGGAGAAAGTATAGTTGTACATTTTATTATCAAAGAGATTAAAATGCCCATTTGTTTAGCAATAATGTCACTGGTGGATGAATATCAGAAGGAAGATATTGAGGGCCGTTGGCACATGACTGAGATGGATCGCTAGGGAACCTTCCAGTGTTTGGATAAACTTTGGTTACACATCCATTTTGGATTTTTCTCTGAACAGAACCTTTGAATCTTTTGAAGTTGGCCCCTCAGTGGAATTTAGATTCCACTTCGGGAAAACAGCATTTTGCTTAGCAATAAATCTCTGCCAAAAAGAAAGGCAAACTGAAAGCAACATCCCCTTTTCATCTGACAAATAAAAAGACATCCCTAATCAGAACTGACTTTCTTTTGTAGTAAGCCAGCATAATCTAGTCCTTTGCCTTTGAAATGTAGGTAAATTCAGTAGCCAAGAGACCTTTCCTGACAAGCAGATTGGAAGACAATGTAAAGGATGATTGTCACCGGGGGACACTATTGCTCCCCAGCTCCAAGCGTGTACTGCCACGCCCAGTCTCTGTCAAGGAGGTTTATAATTCTATTATAACAAAGGTTACCAAACAAACAGAAGACCATCTTAAATCAATACCTGGCCCTCTTGCTTCTAAGCCACCCATCCCAGGGGTCTCTGGCACTCAAGTTCCTGGCAGTTTCCTCCTTCAACAGCTCTGCTCCCCTTCTGGGAATGCCTACACAGCGAAGAAAAACCCATGGCTGGCCCATGCCAGCGGACTCAGGCTTGCAGGGCTGTTTCATTGCTGTGTTGACTTCTGGGCGGTCGCGAGCCTGAACAATGGGACCCTCCCACCCCACAGGTCCTAGAGCATGGGCCTGGGCATCTACATAGCAATAAAACAGCTCCACAGCCTGACTCCCGCGAGCCTGAGTCAGCTAGCATGGGCCAGATGAGGGTTTTTCTTTGCTGTGTAGATGGACCCATTGAAGCCGCAGCCGCTGGGTTGCTTCCTTCAGCCCCTGGCCCCCTTGCTCCAGGGACCTACCACCGGAGTTAGCATGGTTTTGCTCAGCTGTCTCAGTCCTTCCTTCCCTCAGCTGCCTACTAGCAGCCCTTTATAGGCCCAGGTGTAGCCCAAGTCTTCTTTAATGAACTGGATTGGGCTCATCTGCTCCAGTCCAAGGGGAGCTGGGCTCAGTCTATCCGCAGGGACCAGCTACCTTGTGACAATGACCCGTATATTCTCACATCAGACAAAACAATACCAACTATTTTAATTGACATTCAAAGCTGCTGACTCAAATTGAGGTCCTGCGGCTAAGTGAACTAAGTTAGAAAAAGTTTCCATTCCAGACATATGGTAAACAGGGAAGGGATATGGAAAAAATTAAAAATGGAGGTAAGAGGATTTTCTCCCATCCTTTCTCAAAATGGTATTTCCTAGCATTCTCATCCACACGCCCTACCTAGAAAGGCACCCTCATTTGCTTTCTTAGTTAGGTATAAATGTACTCAGCACCCTACGATTGTAAAGTAACTTAAGACAAAGCCTTTCAGACAAATTCTGACACTTGGCAAGTGTAGATGAAATATTAACAAATACAAGGGGAAGAAAAATTCCTGCTCAGGTGAGCAGTCTGTTTTGTAAAATAAGTATTACAGGATTCCAGGAAAGTAGGGTTATTGTAGTCAAAAGGTCTGTCTCCTGTCAGCTCTTGAATTAATTATGTCAGTTTTTTTACTGTATTTTAAGAAGCTTTGAATACATAATGCTAGGACAAATTACACATAGAATATGTGTAGGCAACACACATCATGTAGAATTATTCACTTGTTCTCATTGCATTTTTGGAGGCAGCTTTTACCTTGCCTTGTTATCTGTTGTTACTGAGCAAAGTATAAGTGGTACATTTTCAGCATAGTGAATACCACCTCCTAATTTAGATGCAAAAAGTCGATATCGGTCTTTTGTAATTCTAAGCAAAAAGGTGCATAAAACAGCATAGACGATCTAATTTAATTGACAAGAGAGAGTTCTCTGCCTTGTTCTTTGCTCCTCCAGTTTTTGCCTTGTTCATTCAGCACATGGGTTACTAATGTGGAATCTTCCTGAGTGTAATTAAATGTTTTTTATTTTTTTTTGTTTCATGACAGAAACGACATAAGGCAGACAGTACAGTAAACAAAAAGAAAACAATAGGTAAGATCCTAATGTGTTTCATTTTTTTAAACTAAATATTATGCAGTAGGAATGGCCAGATGCAAATGTATTGTTAAGATGAATAATTATTTTAAAACTAATAATGTATTATCTTCTGATTCTATAAATTCTAAAGAACTAGAGGAAGATGTACATGCATGACTGTTTGAATGCCAGGTGCTGATAATTAGTCATTTGAAATTTTTTGTCTCATTATGAATGATGATATGAAGAACTTGGTGGGATAAGGGGTGTGATGTCCTGGGATGTAGAGACCTCTGCTTCTCTTGAACCCTAGGACACCAGTCTTACTGAATGACTGCATGGAGGCATTGCTCTTTGTTAATGCAATCCTTACTGTTGCTGTATCAGTTCATCCATAACTTATTTAAAAAATGAAAAAATATGATTAGTACTTTGGCTGCACTTAGAATCTTTCAAATGGAAGAAATGCTTTAAGTGAAATCACTGTGTTTTTAGGTATAGTTTAATTACTCTAAAAAAAAAAAAAGCTTAGCCTCCAGAAAAACACTTTGGAGAGCAAATTGCTAAAATTTTGAAGATCTACTCGTGTGTGATCTTTGCAGGTGTTTGCATGACCTAAGTGCAGTTTAATATAGCACTATTGGTTGGTTGCACATTGGGGTTTTGATCTCTAAGCAATGTGTTACCAAACCAGATATGGCCTGCTATTATTCCATACTTTTGACTTTCTGTAGGACCAAAATATTCTCTCATATACTTGCACGTACAGCCTACTGATTTCAAGGGGAATTTATTATGTGAATCCAAAGGCAGAGTTTGACTTTTGGTTCTTTACATCCACATTTTGACCAAGGGCATTCCTTGCTGTGGCTTTCAAATACAAAATAGTCTTTTTACTCATTGCAACTTCTGTGTGGCTTTCAAGTGCATTTAGTTCATGAGAATGTATTGGTTAATGTAGTCTTTGGAAATAAAGGGCAATATCATCCCTTCATCCATGTGGGGCAGCAAAGATGTGATTAGTGAGAATCCTGTCATAGTGAGCCCGAAAATACTGGGGAAGAGACATCTCAGGGCTTGCCTTCACTGCAAAGTTAACTTGAGTTGTAATTCAAGTGTTGCCCCAACTCAAGTCCCATCCATACACACAAACCCTTAACTCGAGAATGGTGATGTTTTTACCAGTCAAAGGGCATAGTCTACAACATGAGTGAGCACAACTTGTCAGCTGCAAACACAATCACTCTGTGTTGCTAATACAATTACTGTGTAGTTCAAGAGTTATTTTGCAGTGTGACTACTCTCACTCAATCTAGGCTAATTTGAGAGAAGTTAACTTGAGTTATCTACACTCTAGTTAACTCTGCAGTGAAGATTTCACCTCAGATGCACAGAAGCAGGATTTACTACTTATTTTGGGATTAATGTACTTTGGTCTTATTTTACCTAGAGAAGAGTGATCCCCCTCTAAGGTATAATCTGTTGAAAGCTCTCCATAGAAAGACACACAGAAGAGATTATAACTGAAGTAACCATTATTCACTACTAGCTAGTGCTCTGTTTTTCTTTTATTTTCCTTTCTTTAGTTATAAAATTGATAATTAAATGATATCAATTATTCAATTAATAAAATAAGTATTATGCTTGTCTTGTGGTGTCCCCTAGGGCACAGTAAGAACTCCATCTGACTAAAATAGTGGTGGTCACATCCCTGAATTAGCATTAAGAGCGGCAGTTAAGATTTGGCCTATCGTTTCTTGTTTCTGTAGACTATAAATTGTTAGTGGTTTTTGGAAAAATAAAAAAAAAAATAGAAAAGTTTAATGGAAAACTCCAAGACTTGACAATTGCAAAGACATCCAAGAATCCTGTTTGGGAGGGTGGGAGGATGGGTTTGCTGCCCTGCAGGTTAGGAGGAGTTCTCCTCCTTAAATAGCATGAATGTTCCAGGATCTACAGGGAAATCCAATGGATTTCAGGATATTCATATGTTGGACAGCTTCTCCCTACTGTTTCCCAACTCTTCCCCCTGCAGCAGCCAAACTGGAAGTGTCTTCCTTTTACCTGCATCCTCCTCCCTCCAAAACTTCATGGGGAGGTCAACGTCATGGAAAAGGGACTTGGCAGGAGTTAATGCTAACCTTGTCAGCACAAATTCCCATGAGGGGATTTCTGAATAAGGAGTTGCTGATTCATTATCGGATAACTAATTATTTCCCCAATTAATATAACTATTTTATACTTAAATAGCTTCTTGTGTTAGTCATCAGTTATAGCATTAAAAGACCTTGCTATATTTATATATAAAACATCTGACTATTCACATAACAATGGTATCTGGCTGTTGTTATTATATGAAGTATTTACATTTCAATAGAAAATATTTGCAAATAAACATCTCAAAGGAAGCTTATACCATCTTAAACATTTGAGGGAGAACTTTTAAGACAAACCCCAAGTTAGATACAAGTAATCGATATCATCTGGAAAATATTTCCAAACCATAATTTTCCCACCCTTGAAGTTTGAAGAATGAAACTTCAAAGTGCCTGTAAAAGAAATCTGTTTTTTCACTAAGAATATTTTCAGAATTCTTTTTGTGGGTTTAAACTAAGGCTTATCTCTTTGCAAAGAGGAGGAGTAAAGACGTCCACTTCTATGACTTAGGCTACGTCTTCACTACGGGGGGGGGGTCGATTTAAGATACGCAAATTCAGCTACGCGAATAGCATAGCTGAATTCGACGTATCGCAGCCGACTTACCCCGCTGTGAGGACGGCGGCAAAATCGACCTCCGCGGCTTCCCGTTGACGGCTCTTACTCCCACCTTCGCTGGTGGAGTAAGAGCGTCGATTCGGGGATCGATTGTCGCGTCCTGACGGGACGCGATAAATCGATCCCCGAGATGTCGATTTCTACCCGCCGATTCAGGCAGGTAGTGTAGACCTGCCCTCAGTTTAGAGCTCTGATAACACATCCTTGGTATCACAGTGGTTCTCAACCGGGGGTACATGTATCCCTGGGGGTACGCAGAGGTCTTCCAGGGGGTACATCAAGTCATCTAGGTATTTGCCTAGTTTTAGAACAGGCTACATAAAAAGCAATAGTGAAGTCAGTACAAATTAAACTTTCATACAGACCTGTTTATACAGCTCTATATACTATATGCTGAAATGTAAGCACAATATTTATATTCCAATTGATTTATTTTAAAAATGAGAAAGTAAGCAATATTTCAGTAATAGTGTGCTGTGACATTTCCGTATTTTTATGTCTGATTTTGTAAAGAAATAGTTTTTAAGCGAGGTGAAACTTGGAGGTACACAAGACAAATTAGACTACTGAAAGGGGTACAGTAGCCTGGAAAGGTATTATATCCTGTATAAAGAACATCCTTATGTCCTTTTACATAATCAGGTCTCTTTCTAAAACATAAATATCCTAAGAATGTTTTCATGAGATAAAGAATCTGTGTAAACACATTTAGAAGCAACAAATATGGTTTCATGGCTAAACAGATGTCACCCCCTTTGACGCTTTTGGTGATGATTCTCTGCTTTCCTAGGAATTTCTTTAATTAGCTCGAACATTTTAGTTAGCAACCAGATTAATTTTTAATAAGTACGCAAATGATCATTCTTCACTCATCATGTGTATGAAATTAATGGAAATATTTCCTTATCTTCACTAAAGGTGAAGGCAAGTATGTAATAACCTAAACCTACATACAATTATAATAAAATTATTAATAACCACGTTTGCATCACTGTTGATGTCTGTTCCTCAACACAATAGAACCCTGATCTTTTTTTTTTTTAAGATCATAGAGGACACTCAAAAAGTTACATAAAAGTGGGGCTTCAGATAATCAGTACCTTCAAGCCTACCAGAGGTCTTCAGTGCTATAGGAACTTAACATCAGCACTGAGAACTTAGGAATGCCCTGACAAGGAAGCCTGAAGCTAAGCTACCTAGTCCTGTGGGGTTTAGTAGCTGCACAAGGGTTTAGCTTCAGCCCTGTGGAACTTAAAACTCTGTAAAACTGAATCACCACCTCCATAGAGATCTGCAGGAGTCAGGGCCAGCTCCAGCATTTCTGCCGCCCCAAGCAAAAAAAAAAAAAAAAAAAAA